AATAAAGATACTATAACCAGCACTGCACAAGATTTTGTGGGGCATGTTTTGCATTACTATAGGTAAACTTATCAAGGATTGTGATTGCTAGATCATATGACAAGAATACGTTAACTCTTGAAAGAGATTTCAGAACTGTCTTCTACGGTATTGTTTGTATAATGCAGTGTATACAAACTATTGTTTGTATTCCATTAGCGATGAATGAGATTTTCTGTTGTTCCACATATTTGACAACATTATCTGATATTAGCATTCCAAATTTAGGTTTCTCTAACAGCTATGTAGTTGCATCACATTTATTTTTTATTTTTATATATATGTTTTGCTTTTCGGGTCACACTTGGCAATGCACAGGGGTTACTCCTGGTTCATGCACTCAGGAATTACTCCTGGCGATGCTCAGGGGACCATATGGGATGCTGGGAATGGAACACGGGTCAGTCACGTGCAAGGCACGCCCCACCAGCTGTGCTATCTCTCCAGCCCCTCACATTTATGTTTTGATTTGAAATTCCTTAATGGCATATGTCCTTCCATTGTTCATCTATTTGCTCAAGCAGACCCAGTAATGTCTTCACTGTGACAATTGTTACCGTGTTTGGCATAGCGAATACATCACAGGTAGCTTGCCAGGCTTTGCCGTGCAAGCGAGATGCTCTCAGTAGCTTGCCAGGCTCTCCGAGAGGGGCAGAGGAATCGAACCCGGCTCGGCCAGGCTGGCTGCGCACAAGGCAAACGCCCTACCGCTGTGCTATAAAGCATATTTCCATATTTTATCTTCTTTGATGTGGTGATTATTTAGGCTGTTCACCCCTTTTTGATTGAGTTGCTTATTTTGTTATTGCTGACTTTAAGTGTAAGAGTATCTTTTGGATTAGAGTTCTTCATCAGATGTTGATTTGCAGAAATTATCTCCCAGTCTATGACTTGCTTTCTCCTTCTTTTAATGTTTCCTTTTATAGATAAGCTTTGAAAACATTTTATTAAAACCCAACTTTAGGATTATTTGTTTCTTGGGTCATGTCTTTGAGGTTGCATCTAAAAAGTCATTGTCCAGGGCTGGAGAGATAACACAATGAGCATGGCACTTGCAGCACCCAGATGAAGTTCAATCCCTAGGATTCCAAATGGTCTCCCAAGCACTTCCAAGAGTGATTCTTGAGTCTAGAGCCAAGACAACCCTCTGAACATCTCCAGGTGTGGCCGCCAAACAAAAGTCATTGTAATACTTTAGCAGTCCCCTTTCTCACTGGGCAGATCAACCAGAAAGAAGATGAATTAATAAATAAATTCCCAAAATAAGGAATAGGAAGAGCTGGAAATTACAGACATATAGAGGATACTCTACCTACCACAAGCTAAATACTTACTTTTCTTCAGTGCACATGGAAAAGTGCAAACCATATGTGAAAGTGTAAATAGAGTATTCATAAAGTTACAAAAACATAAGGCATCTCTAGTATTTACTCATACTATGCAGATAGAAATTAGCCTTTAAGAGAAGGTGAGAAAGTAATGGAATACCATGCAGCTACCAGTAAAAGGAAGTCATGAAATTCGCCCGTAAATGGATAGGCATGAAGAGTATCATGCAGAATGAAATGAGCCAGATGGAGCGGGACAGGCATAGAATGCCTACACTCATTTGTGGGATGTAAAAATAGTATTATATGACTAATAGCCAAAGACAGTCCAAACTAGGGTCAGGAGGAATGGTCCATGGATAGAGTTTGCCACAAGTGATGGTGGTTAAAAAGCAGCTAGGATAAAGAAGGGACCACTAAGCCAAAGAAAGTTGGAAATGATCACTATGGACAAGAGATGAGTGCTGAAAGTAAGTAAAGGCACAAACATGATAATCTTTCAGTAACTGTATTGCAAAGCATAATGCCCAAAAGGAAAGAGAAAGAGAGAAGTGCCTGTCATAGAAGTAGCCTTGTGGTGTGTGGGGAGGTAAGGAAACTGTACACATTGGTGGTGGGATATGTACATTGGTGAAGGGATGGGTGATGGAACATTGTGCGACTGAAACCCAGTCATGAACAACTTTGTAACAATGTATCTTACAGTGATTCAATAAAAAAGTAAATAAAAAATAAAAAAAAATAAAGTGAGGGAGAAAAAAATAATTGAAAAGGAAATGCGATATGATCAAATAACCGTTTGGTCAAAGAATAATTCAACAAAGAAATGAAAATATTTCTCAAACTTAATGAGGATGAAAATGCAGGTTATAAGAATCTACAGGACATGGTAGTACTAAGGGAGAGGGGAGTTCATAACAATACAGACTTATATCAGGAAAGAAGAAAAAGGTCAAATCATTGATCTAACCTGATAGCTGAGAAGCTAGGAAAAGAATAACAAATGAATGATAAACTTAGTGGAAGGGAAAAAGTACTTATAACTAGAGCAAAAATAAATGATGATATAAAAACCAATATGGTCTCCGGCCATACCACCCTGAACGCGCCCGATGTCGTCTGATCTCGGAAGCTAAGCAGGGTCGAGCCTGGTTAGTACTTGGATGGGAGACTGCCTGGGAATACCGGGTGCTGTAGGCCTTTAGGGGCTGGAGCGATAACACAGCGGGTAGGGCGTTTGCCTTGCACGCAGCCAACATGGCCGACCCGAGTTCGATTCCTCCGCCCCTCTCGGAGAGCCCAGCAAGCTACCGAGAGTATTCGATATGCCAGACACAGTAACAACAAAGTCTCCAATGGAGACGTTACTGGGCCCGCTCGAGCAAATCGATGATCAACAGGAGGGCCTTTACTTTACTTTACTATAAAAACCAAGAAGAGAATACAAAGTATCAATGAAATCAAGAGCTGTTCTGTTTTTTTTTTTTTTAATCAGGCAAAAGGGGTTGATAGCAAGGATATAGAAGGTACTAGTTGAACTCCACAAGAAGAAAACACCCAACCCCATCAAAAAATGGGTCAAGGAAATGAACAGAAACTTTTGCAAAGAAGAAATCCGAATGGCTAAAAGGCACATGAGAAAATGCTCTACATCATTAGTCATCAGGGAGATACAGATCAAAACCACAATGAGAAATCACTTCACACCATAGAGACTGGCCCACATCCAAAAGAACAAAAACAACCGGTGCTGGAGTGGATGTGGCGAGAAAGGGACCTTCCTTCACTGCTGGTAGGAATGCCGACTGGTCCAACTTTTTTGGAAAACAGTATGGTTGATTCTCAAAAAATTAGAAATTGAGCTCCCATTTGACCCAGCAATACCACTCCTGGGAATATATCCCAGAGAGGCAAAAGAGTATAGTCGAAGTGACATCTGCACTTGTTTGTTAATTGCAACACTCTTTACAATAGCCAGAATCTGGAAAAAAAACCTGAGTGCCTGAGAACAGATGACTGGTTAAAGAAACTTTGGTACATGTACACAATGGAGTACTATGCAGCTGTTAGTAAAGATGAAGTCATGAAATTCATATATAAATGGTACTACGTGGAAAGTATCATGTTAAGCGAAATGAGTCAGAAAGAAAGGGACAGACATAGAAAGATTGCATTGATCTGGCGAACATAAAGTAACAAAATAGGAGACAACACCCAAGAATAGCCGAGATAAGTACCAGGAGGATTACTCCATGGCTTTGAGGACAGCCGCACAAGCTAGGGGAAAAGGAAGCTCAGATAGAGAAGAGAGCACCAAATAAAGGGTGTTGGGAGGATCCTCCCAGGGTGGGAGAAGGATGCTGAAAGTAGACTATAGACCAAACATGATTGCCACTCAATGCCTCTCTTGCAAACCACAGGACCCAAAAGGAGAGAGAGAGAGAGAGAGAGAGAGAGAGAGAGAGAGAGAGAACGAAAGAGGCAGGGTGGGATGGGGGGATGGGGGTGGGAGGGATGCTGGGACCCGTGGTGGTGGAGGATGGGTGCTGGTGGAGGGATGGGTACTTGATCATTATATAACTGAAACCCAAACACAAAAATGTGTATGTCTGTAACTGTACCTCATGGTGTTTCACTAATAAAAAAAAATTAGGCAAGAGGTGAACAGAAACATCCTCAAAGAAGACACAGGGGGCTGGAGTAATAGCACAGTGAGTAGGGCATTTGCCTTGCACACGGCCGACCCAGGTTCTATTCCCAGCATCCCATATGTTCCCCCGAGTACTGCCAGGAGTAATTCCTGAGTGCATGAGCCAGGAGTAACCCCTGTGCATTGCCGGGTGTGACCCAAAAAGTAAAAAAACAGACACAGATAAGTAATAGGTATATGAAAAATGTTCTGCATCACTTATCATTAAGGATTTAATGTGAAAACAATAATGAGATATCATCTCAACGAGACTGGTGCACATCATCAAAAACAAAAACAACCAGTGTTAGCTTGGATATGCGGGAAAAAGCCCCTCATTTACTGCTGGTGGGAATGTTGACTGAACTAACTTTTAGGGAAAACAATATGAAAACACTTAAAAAAAACTAGATATTGAGCTCCTATACGACCACCCAATGATTCCACTTTTTGGCAGCTACCCCTAGAGCTGGACATGTAATGAGATTTGGAGATGACCGTGAACTAGAGCCATTACCGACTGGATTCCACGGGACGTCAAAAGACCGCGTGGCCGCCCACCATCGAGATGGTCAGACTTCTTCATTAAGACCCTGAACAATCGGTCTGAGACTCTTTGTGTTCCTAGAACGAGCAGAAGCCATTGGGCTGCACTAGCACGTGACAGGGTCGAATGGAGACATTACTAGCCCCCGTTCGAGCAAATCGATGAGTAACGGGATGTCAAGTGATCAAGTGACCCCTAGAGCCCAATAGCTTTATTCAGAAAAGACATTTACACTATTATTCATTGCAACACTGTTTACAATAGCCCAAATCTAGAAACAACCCAAGGGTATAAGAACAGATGATTAGACAAGCAAACTATGGTACAATGGAATACTATTCAAGCTATAAGAAGAGATGAAGTCGCCTTTCGACCAGAACTGCCAGCGTTCAGTAAGTCGCAAAAATTACCAACACAAAGGGTAAGTGGAGGGGCACCCGCTATATGTTCTCCAGACCTTTCAGAAAACATGGAGTTGTTCCTTTGGCCACGTACATGCGTATATACAAGAAAGGTGATATCGTAGACATAAAGGGAATGGGCACTGTCCAAAAAGGAATGCCCCACAAATGTTATCATGGCAAAACTGGAAGAGTCTACAATGTTACCCAGCATGCTGTTGGCATTGTTGTTAACAAACAAGCCAAGGGCAAGATTCTTGCCAAGAGAATTAATGTCCGCATTGAGCATATTAAGCACTCTAAAAGTCGAGACAGCTTCCTGAAACGGGTGAAGGAAAATGATCAAAAAAAGAAGGAAGCCAAAGAGAAAGGAACTTGGGTTCAACTGAAGCGCCAGCCTGCTCCACCCAGAGAAGCACACTTTGGAAGAACCAATGGAAAGGAACCTGAGCTGCTGGAGCCCATTCCTTATGAATTCATGGCTTGAAAAGTGTTTGTTTAAAAATAAAGAAACTCCTGGACTATAAAAAAAAGAAGAGATGAAGTCACACAATTTTCTGCTACATGGGTGGATTTGGAGAGTATCATGCTGAGTAAAGTTAGTGAGAAGGAGAGGGCCAAACACAGAATGATCTTTCTTATGTGTGATATTTAAAGAAACATAGTATGGAAATAACAAGTGCTCAAAGACAACAAAACCTGTGAATTGGTCATCAGTAGGAAGTTTTACCATGAGGAGGAGGGAGGGATAGTTTGAATGGGAGGGAAACTCTGGGACATTGGTAGAGGGAAATATACACTCTGGTGTAGAGTGTGGCTCTGGAATGATTTTCTCAAGAAACCATTAACATTGTTATAAATCATGTGCCTAAAATTAAGTTATAAACAAAGATTGATAAACCCTGATCCATGAGAAAAAATAGAAAACCCAGATGAAAGGAGATAAATTACAACAGATTCCTCAGAAATACAAAAGTTCATAAAAAGTACTATGAACAACTCTACGTAGCTGAGCTAGAGAACCTAGAAGAGATATATGAATTCATGTGATTTTCCAAGTTTGAGTCAGAAAACCCAGCCAGATCAATCACAAGTAAGAAAGTTAAAATAGTAATTAAAAACCTCCCCTAAAGGGCTGGAGCGATAGCACAGCGGTAGGGTGTTCGCCTTACAAGCGGCCAACATGGCCGACCCGAGTTCGATTCCTCCACCCCTCTCGGAGAGCCCGACAAGCTACCGAGAGTATTCGATACGCCAGACACAGTAACAACAAAGTCTCCAATGGAGACGTTACTGGGCCCGCTCGAGCAAATCAACGATCAACGGGAGGGCCTTTACCTTTTACCTTTACCCTAAAACAAAAGTCTTGTTCTATATGGATACACTAATAAATTCTACCATAACCAAACCTTCAAATAAAAATTACTCCCTGTACTTAAGTTCTTCCAAAATATTAAAGTAACAGGAATTTTTCCTAACAGCTCCTGTGAAACTAACATTTCCCTAAATCCAAAACCAAAGCTACTACTAAAGCAGAATTTTTTGGAAGCAGGGGGGCTACTCCTGGGTCTGTGCTCAGGGATCACTCCTGGTGCTGCTGAGGGAACCATATGAGATACCAGGGATCAAACCCAGATCATCCTCATGTAAAGAAAACACCCCACCCACTGTACTATCATTCTGGCCCCCTAAATCAGAACTTTTAAAGAAAAAATGCAGACTAATTTATCTGGTAATCATGGATACAGAGATCCTCAAAGTCTTAGCAAGCTGAATCCAACAATATATCAAAATATAAATGACAATATATCTTACACCATGGTCAAATGAGACTCATTTCAGGGATGCTAAAGCAGTTTAATATACACAATTAAGTTAATTCAACACACCTTATCAACAAAAGGAAAGATAAGGCCAAATGATCATATTAATGCATGGAGAGAGAGCTTTTCAAAAAATTCATCAGTTATTCATGATTTTTTAAAAAGCTCAACAAAATAGGAATAGAAGCAATATTCCATAAGACAGTAACACTTGTTTACAACAAACCCAGAGTCAGATTCATACTAAGTGGTGAAAAATTGAAAGCATTCCTTCCGAGATCGGCACAAAACAAGAATATTAGTTTTCTCTGCTATTATTCAATATAGTATTGAAAATCTTTGCCACACAATTAGGGAATAAAAAGAATTAAAAGGGATACAAATTGGAAGGAGGAAGAAAACCATTACTGTTTATAGATGATAGAGGATATGCATATAAAACCCTAAAGACTTCACTTAAGAACTCTTAGAAATAATAAACCCATACAGCAAAGTAGCAGGCTACAAAATCGATACCAAAATATTGGTCACACTTCTATATGTAAATAATGAAACAAAAAAGCCATTTCAATTAAAATTATATACAAGGGACCAGAGAAAGAACAGTTGGTAAGGCATGTGTCCAACCTTTCATATGGCCAACCTGGGTTTGATCCTTGACAACACACATGGTTCCTCACGCACCACCAAGAATGATCCCTAAGTACAGAGTCAAGCAAGCCTTAAGCACAGCTGGTTGTGGGGACGGAAGAAAGAAAGAGAGTAGAGAGAGAGAGAAGGAAGGAAGGAGGGGAGGACGGAAGGAAAGAAGGAAGTTCAAAGGCATCAATACCTAGAAATCAATGATGTGAAAGACTTGTATATTGAAAACTATAAGTTGCATATGATAGAAATGAAAGAAAACACCAGGTAATGGGGAAATTTTACTTATTTGTGAATTGAAAGAATTGACATTATCAGTATGTTCATTGAGTTAAATATCATCATAATTCCAGTAGCACTTGTCAAAAATTTAGAACAAACTCTACAACATGCAAAATATAGACAGAACTTAATATAGGCATATGGACTTCAGAGCTATTTCAATTCTGATTTTTGGTATTTCAATTTTTTGGTTCCATCTGCTGGATAACAAAATAAAAAATAAACAAGGGAACTACATCAAAAGTTTTACATGGCAAAAAAACTTGGTTAATATAAAAAGACACCATAGTGAATCTGCACACAATACATCAAATAAAAGGCTAATATCTATGCCATAGAAAGCACTCACAAAGCTCAAAAAATAACCTTATCAAAAATGGAGAGAGATTGAACAAACACTTCCATAAAGATGACATAGATACAGCTGATAGGTATATGAAAGTGTTTATTGTCACTAATTATTTTTTCTTCCATTTTCCCTTTGTTTTTTTTTTAAATTTTATTGAATCACCCTGAGATAGTTACAAGGTTTCATGTTTGGGTTATTGTCACTAATTATTATGGAAATACACATATAAATGACAATCAGATATCATCTTATACCAGCCAGAATGTCATATACAAAGACTGGACACAGCAAGTGTTAGAGGGATATGGTTTAAGAAAAAAAAATCCCCGTTTAGTGTTACTAGGAATACTGTCTATGGAAAATAGTAGGACAACTTCTCAAACAAGTAAGAACAGAATTCCCATATGACCCAGTGATACTACTTCTTGAAATCTATTCCTCAAACACAGAAACATTAATATTAAGGGATATTTGTGCCCATGTTCATGAAAGTACTTATTACAGCAGCTGGAATATGAAAACAACCCAAGCGTCCAACAACAGATGACTTAATAAAAGAGTTGTAATATATATACACAATAGAACATGTGGATACAATGATAAGAAAATGTCAAATATTTTATTTTATTTATTTATTAGCTTTTTGGGTCACACCCGGCAATGCACAGGGGTTACTCCTGGCTCTGCACTCAGGAATTACTCCTGGAGGTGCTCAGGGGACTATTTGGGATGCTGGGAATCGAACCCCAGTTGGCTGCCTGCAAAGCAAACACTCTACCTGCTGTGTTATCACTCCAGCCCTGAAAATGTCAAATATTTTAGATTGCTGCAACGTGAATGGAACTAAAGGGCATTACGTTAAGTGAAATAAATCAGGAAAATAGATGCCAGATTATTTTATACATCTGCAGGATGTAGCACTGCACTGTCGCACTGTCGTCCCATTGTTCATCGATTTGCTCAAGCGGGCACCAGTAACCTCTCCATTGTGAGACTTGTTACTGTTTTTGGCCTATTGAATTCCCCACGGGGAGCTTGCCAGGCTCTGCGGTGCAGACTGGATACTCTCTGTAGCTTGCCGGGCTCTCTAAGAGGGATGGAGGAATCGAACCCGAGTCGGCTGAATGCAAGGCAAACGCCCTACCCTATCATATTGAACAATGTCAAACTCTTGACCTTACATTGCAAAACAGAAATTACCAAACAGTAGGGGTGGAGAGAGGAAGAGATGGACTAGAAGTCACACGAGGACATTGGTGAAAGGCATTGGACACTCTGGTGGTGGTGAAGTGCAGTAACTATGTACATCAAAACCATAAATATTATAACTATTGCAAACACATGACCTAAACTATAATAATCTAATTAAATATTAAAAGTATCAGTTTCACTCTGACAAAATTTATGACTAAATCTTCTTAATTTTTCTATCTTATATATTTTTATATTTTCCTTCACATTATTTTTTTTCTTTTTGGTCAAACCCAGTGATGCACAGGGGTTACTCCTGGCTCATGCACTCAGAAATTATTCCTGGCAGTGCTCAAGGGACCATATGGGATGCTGGAAATCAAATCTGGGTCGGTCGCATGCAAGGCAAACGCCCTACACATTGTGCTATTGCTTCAGCCCCACACATTAAAATTTTAATAAGTAAAATGGAATTAATAACAGTGCTTACCTCATGAAGTTGTAGAGAAGTTGTATATATATATATATGTATATATATACATATATATACCACTTAACACATTACCAGACACCAAGACCAAGACAGCTCAGATAGTTAACATTCATAGCTAGTTTTCATCATTATATTATGATAGCTAGTTTTATGATATTATATTGTTCATATTCTTTATATTTTAATTAATTATAATATTTATATTGTCACTGTCACTGTCATCCCATTGTTCATCGATTTTCTCTAGTGGGCCCAGTAACATCTCCATTGTGAGACTTTGTTGTTACTGTGTTTGGCATATCAAATACGTCACGAGCAGCATGCCAGGCTTTGCCGTGCAGGCGAGATACTCTCTGTAGCTTGCCGGGCTCTCCAAGGGGGCGGAGGAATCGAACTCGGGTCGGCTGCATGTTGGCTGCATGCAAAGCAAACGCCCTACCCTCTGTGCTATCGCTCCAGCCCAATATTTATATTATAATATAATATTAATCATATTATAATGATAGCTATTTTTCATTATTATTAAGACAGAATTGCTCTCTAATCTCTACAGAACCTACAATTCTGATAATCTAGGTCTGTGCTGCTCTTTTTTTTTCCTTCACATTAATTTTTAAATTTTTTATTTTAATTTAATTAAAGGGCCATGATTCACAAAGCTTTTGATAGTTGAGGCTGGGGCATCAAATATTCCATCATCAATACCACCACTAGTG